AATTTCTAATATAATATAACAGGAGTTTCACGTTGCCACAAACACATGCAAGGACAAGCTCAACTAGAAAGAGTTGTGGTTGGCAAAGGCTTAGAGGTTGCGTGAACAGGTTGTCTATACGACATAATCACGGAATAGATTTTTATCCAAGCTTCATTTCATAAATTTTGGAGCATTACTCGATATATACATAAGGTTAGAATTCACTTGTATTGATGACAGGTACACTTTGCATTTGGTAACCGATGCAATGCATATGTTATACCTTTATCATATATATTTATTTACACAAAAATTAGGACGGTCAAAATTGCTGGTAGGGATTAGAAAGGTAATACAAATATGTCAAGTATTTCCAGATTAAGAAAATATGAATACTTTAACTCATTACGCTAGGCAGCCTAGTCGTTAAAGTGAATAATTGTCTTCAGTATAGTCTCCTAAAGATTTTTGAAGAATTTATTAGTATTACTTTTTTTATGGAAAGTAATTTAATTTTTTTTCTACGAGTGGAAAATCTTTATCTCTTGCCAAGTGCCATTATTTTGAAATTGTGAAAATTAATATTTTTACTAAGATTATATTATTTGGTTTAAAGGTACATATGTTCTTACTTTGCGTCTACATAACAAATTTGAAAATTGTTTCTTACTTTGCGTCTACATAACAAATTTGAAAATTGTTTGAAATTTTATTTTATTGGTTGTAATAATATTATCTTTGTATCACGGTTCATATTAATATTTTGTAGCATGCGTGTGTTGTTGATAGAATATGGTTTTGAGTTACTTTTATTTGAAATAACTTATAAAAATCGATCATATTATCGTTTTCGACTGGTTTTATCTAACTTGGTGTATGCAAGAGATATGAACTGATCAGAAATGTTTATCGCGAGAAACCAAGCAAGATTTTTATATACCAATATATCACCATGGAGATAAATATGGGTGGGACAATGTGGTAGCAAAATGTCATTTAAGATATATTTTTTCCCCAACCATTCAAGATTTTCTTATCGTCGCACTATTGTGGCTTTATTATTTTATTTTTGGAATGACATGTGACACATCCAAAGTTGGCAAGATTCCCCAAAATAATCCTCCTTTTGATCTTTTTTTGGTTTCTATCTCAACTTGATGATGAGATCTCTCAGTTCTGTTTAATACGGTAAAAAACCCACTTAACTACGTCATATTATGAAATTGGTCGTTTGGTTTTTTGTTAGTATGGAATTTTTGTTTGTTGTAGAATGAGTCTAGGGTACCTATCAATTGATCGATCACACCCATTTCGATGTGATTTACAAATTTGTTTTTCTGTTGTTTTTAAAATGCCAATGCTTTTTACTCTTGTTTTTTTAGAAGCATCCTGATATGTGAACACCAAATTAAATTCCAATTTAGCATTCTATTAAATATATTGAGGAGTAGCTAATAATTGTATTCTTTTTAGTAGACTATAATTTATGACCAAATGCAAGATTTTGTTGTTTAAAATGAGCGATTTAAATTATTTTTTGTGGTTTCAATTGTGTTTTCTTTAGTATAGCCGGTTAATTTAGAGTCAAAACCCGAACTAATGTCGAGAAAATAAAATAAAACCATTTAATAACTATTGTATAATTAGCAATTTTAATGGTTCAAACAACAAAACTAAAACTTGAAAAACAAAATTATGAAATAAATATATGTATTCAAAACTTCCATTTTAATCCAAAATTAAATGAGAATAAGCATATTTGCATATGTTTTTAATATATCTATAAATTAGAAAACGTGATATTTCTTATATATCTTCTCAATATGATGGTTCTAAGTCATACATCTCGACAGAATTTTCTGTCAGATCAAATTTACTTTGGCCCAATATTAATTGGGGTCAATTCAAGTAACTAACTTTTTTTGTTCGGAATTTACTACCACCTCAAGCTTCATAAGCTTTCAGTTTAAACAGATTGATATTGATTAGATCGACTAATATATCTGCTATATTTTACCTTATAAATTGATATGAAATTTTTAATAAACATATAGTATGTTGTTATTTTACGAAGAAAATTTCAGATTCTTTAGGATATCCTCTATAGTTGATAAAACATATCCGATTCTATTATACGACTACGTGTTGAATTGGTTGTGGTTGGGCTATGTGGGTAGTGGGATTGTCCCACATAAGCTTAATTATTGCACGTTAAATATAAAATAATTAGATTTTGATTAAATCACTAACCTTTTTCCAAAAGCTGCGAGAAAATAAATCATTACTCCTTCTGTTTAAAAATATAAGATGTTTTGGAAGTTTTTTTATTTTAAATATAAAATATTTTGACAATCCTAGTTATTTTTTATTTTACTGAATATTGTGCGACCAATAATATTCAGTAGTCTAATTTATAATTGGTTAAATTATTTTTAAATTATATATTAAATAATACTTTTTGAAAAAAAAATAATTTTTTAATCTCTGTATTTTTAGACAAAACATCTTATATTTTAAAACAGAGGAAATATATCTCTCGTTTGGAAACCCTAAATCACTCTCAACTACTTGACCAACCCAATAAAACTAGAATCGGATACCAAAATAACTAAAGAAGGGTAAA